ACATCTATCACTCCAGTGTTAATACTAAATTAGAATTGTAATTATTTTGCACTATGGCCTATGTATTGCCTTACCTCCATAACTTACTACATTTGCACACACTGTATATAGATATTGTTGTTTTTACCGCACTGCTTTTGCTTTATCTAGGCCAGGTCGCAGTTGTAAATGAGAACTTGTTCTCAACTGGCTTACCTGGTTAAATAAAGGTGAAATAAAAAATGAATAAATAAAATGACAAAGTGAAAACAGGTTTATAGACATTTTTGCAAATGTATTCAATATAAAAAACAGAAATATCATATTTACACAAGTATTCAGACCCTTTGCTATGAGACTCGAAATTGAGCTCAGGTGCATCCTGTTTCCATTGAGATGTTTCTACAACTTGATTGGAGTCCACTTGTGGTAAATTCAATTGATTGGACATGATTTGGAAAGGCACACACCTGTCTATATAAGGTCCCACAGTTGATAGTGCATGTCAGAGCAAAAACCAAGCCATGAGGTCAAAGGATATGTCCGTAGAGCTCAGAGACGGGATTGTGTTGAGGTACAGATCTGGGGAAGGGTACCAAAAAATGTCTACAGCATTGAAGGTCCCCAAGAACACAGTGGCCTCCATCATTCTTAAATAGAAGAAGTTTGGAACCACCAAGACTCTTCCTAGAGGTGGCCACCCGGCAAAACTGAGCAATCGGGGGAGAAGGGCCTTGGTCAAGGAGGTGATCAGGAACCCGATGGTCACTCTGACAGAGCTCCAGAGTTCCTCTGTGATTGGGAGAACTTTCCAGAAGGACAACCATCTCTGCAGCACTCCACCAATCAGGCCTTTATGGTAGAGTGGCCAGACAGAAGTCACTCCTCAGTAAAAGGCACATGATAGCCCACTTGGAGTTTGCCAAAACGCACCTAAAGACTCTCAGACCATGAGAAACAAGATTCTCTGGTCTGATGAAACAAAGATTTAACTATTTGTCCTGAATTCCAAGCGTCACGTCTGGAGGAAACCTGGCACCATCCCTACGGTGAAGCATGATGGTGGCAGCATCATGCTGTGGGGATGTTTTTCAGCGGCAGGGACTAGTCAGGATCAAGGCAAAGATGAACGGAGCAAAGTACAGAGAGATCCTTGATGAAAACCTGCTCCAGAGCACTCAGGACCTCAGACTGGGGCGAAAGTTCACCTTCCAACAGGACAACGACCCTTAGCACACAGCCAAGACAACGCAAGAGTGACTTTGGGACAAGCCTCTGAATGTCCTTGAGTGGCCCAGCCAGAGCCCGGACTTGAACCCGATCGAACATCTCTGGAGAGACCTGAAAATAGCTGTGCAGCGACGCTCCCCATCCAACCTGACAGAGCTTGAGAGGATCTGCAGAGAAGAATGGGAGAAACTCCCCAAATACAGGTTTACCAATCTTGTAGCGTCATACCCAAGAAGACTTGAGGCTGTAATCGCTGCCAAAGGTGCTTCAACAAAGTACTGAGTAAAGGGTCTGAATACTTATGTACATTTATATTTTAGTTTTTTATTTGTAATACATTTGCAAACAATTTCTAAAAATCTGTTTTCACTTTGTCATTGTGGGGTGTTGTGTGTAGATTGATGAGGGAAAAAAAACGATTTATTCAATTTTAGAATAAGGCTGTAACGTAACAAAATGTGGAAAACGTCAAGGGGTCTGAATACTTTCCGAATGCACTGTATATACATACGCAGGCAGGCAGGCAGGCAGGCAGGCAGGCAGGCAGGCACACACACACACATGTGCACACACACACACGTGCACACACACGTGCACACACACATACAATATGTTATACATTTACTGATGTTCCTAGCTCCAGGAGTTAGCTGACCTATACTGATTACTGCTATGTGGTTGGGCTTTACTTGTCTCCATATGGAGAGGCAAGCATTGTTCCATTATCATTGATTTGTGAACATTTACTCACAAAGCTTGATATGATACTCTCCATATTAATAATGGCACCCCGACAACCTTCCTTCAATTACGTTATACTTTTCTTTAAAGAGGCAATCAGCAGTTGATTTTTGGATGTATAAATTAATTATTTGTACCTATTGATTTTGAAGAATATAAATGTTAAATGCTTCATGAGCTTAGTTCAACTGTCAAAATATAAGCTTGTTTCACTCCAATGTTTGTAAACAAACACTATATAGCCTCAAAACATGGTTAAATCTATAGTTTTTATATCATGGATGGTCGGTCCTTGCATCCATAGCTCTGTCCATGAATTTGAGAGTGGTTACATTTCTCTAGCCCCATCCCACAGGTTTTTAGCGAAACAGGGGCAGGGATATTGCTTTGTTATTGTTTCAACTGCTGATTGCCGCTTTAAACTGACATGTACCAGCAAGTCACTGACTGTCAAGGTGTAGCACACTTCATAGATCCAAGATCATTTCTAACTTATTTTAGCCAACATGCACATACAACACCCCCTTAAACAATCTTGAAAAAGAACATTGCGTTTTTTCATCGATACACCGGTTTCATCCAGTTTCATGCCCCATATGTGATAACATAAATGGTCAATCAATCCTGAGTCAGGGTGCAGAGGTAAAACAGGATAAGGTAAATCAAGACATTCTTATCCATAAATTAAAACAAAACAAACAGGTGTGAAATATCAAAGTTTAGACTTCCTGAGTCATCTAGTGGCCATGAAAGGCAATGCACAAAGGATGTACTACCTTCAGTGTTATCATAGATCTAAATTGGTTGGATTGGTCAAAGTAATAAGGTGGTAACCTTGCTTACACCAATCCAATCACTTAAAGATCAGTGATTAGTTCAAGGAAGGAATGGTGCATTGTAAATCTAATGGAATAGGGCCCATGTGAGATTGAGTGCAAGGTAAAGGGAAACCCAATGCTGTTTCTTGCACCTCCAGATGGCCAGTGCCGTCAGGTTAGGCTGACCACTTAGGATTGATTCAGGATGGCGCTGAGTGGAGGGTTATGGCCTATAGCCTATAAGGAGTCAATGCATGAAAGAGAAGGCCCGTATAGGCCAACAATACATAGCTTAGGCTTCATGCCTACAATATGAGTAAGTCTGATAATTCCTTGACTAGAACTAGGTACAGGGTGAAGTTGCTGCTAGATACATTAACTAAATTATGTTTGAGCTGATCTGCGCAGCATTTACCATGAATATGATCTCTGCTCACGTTAGGGAAAATGCCTTCAGAATGCAGATGGACATTCATGTAGAAGGACACTCAACCATTCAGCAGACAGAGGCATGATGATCAGGTGCAGCAAACACTAACAACACTGTGAGTGAAGGGGATCAGTGAGTTCTGGCCTGTACAACATGCACAGCTTAGCAGTGAAAAACCTTGTGCCCTAATGAATACGACCCAGGTAAATATTTGGATATCTCCATCTCAGGATGAAATCCAATCCCAGGCAGCCATGATAAGTGGCTGCTGTTCAAATAGGAAACATCCATCAGCAGTCAAGCCTATACTGTGTGTGTGTGTATGTGTGTGTGTGTGTGTGTGTGTGTGTGTGTGTGTGTGTGTGTGTGTGTGTGTGTGTGTGTGTGTGTGTGTGTGTGTGTGTGTGTACGTGCCTCTCACATACAAGCCCATACATTATGTATGTTTATCTTATAGGTATGCAATCCCTTCATTAAAGTGGAACTCTATATGGTAATCAAAACCAGCAACATGAGAACTACAGGTATGCTAAGATTACACCACTGTGTAGTATAATCAAGATTATCATCAAGTCTGCCAATATTACATTGGTAAAACAACACCATTGCATTTAGGATTGAGGCAATGTTTACTAGAATTATGAGTGGTTTATGCAAAACTATATAACACTTTTTTTGTAATAAATAAAGTAGGAAGAAAACTCGAAAAACATTTAGTCAGATATTAGATAATGAAACTGTTCGAAGAGTTTATAAAAACCTGGCAGAAACATATTTTCTTTAGATATCTGGTTGTATTGTGCTCAGTAGTCAATGAAACTGTATAGGTCATCAAAGCTTTATGATGTCTGTCTCCATCTGCATTACACTGGCAAGCCCTCCTCAGGTTGCCAAGAAACCTGTACTTGGAAACCAGGTGCTGCGAGGAAGAATGGTAGAGTCTGATTGGTGGCTTGTTTGACTGACAGCACGCAGGCACCAATGGGAGCTCTCCAAGGAAGTGAACAGGTAAGGATTGGAGTTTGCAGTTTGTGTACAAATGCACTAAAAGTTAATTAGGTAGATGATACAAAAGAAAAAGAAAGACATAAAACAAACTCAATACTTTTCAAATGTATCTGGAGTCCATTAAATACTCTACTCTTTAGTCACCCCACCCTAAACAAAACTATAACTGTATCGACGTACATGTTGCAGTGGTACAACTCCATTTGGTAGCAGTAGTCTGCCCTGAAGTTTCTGCCATAATTGTGACACATTTTATAATGAGCTGATCTTGTAGTCTACCACATGTGTGACAGAAATGACCAACAATCAATTAGGAGGAACATTAAGCTCTGTGTGCTGATCTACTGAACACAAGCACCATAGGGCCTGACATACACTCTAAACAGTATCAGAGTGCAACGGGCATCAGTGTGGAGCCACCGCCCACTGGGTTAGGGTTACAGCGGTCAGTCTAGCGGAGCCAGACGACAATGGCCCACTACCTCTGGAAAAGAGCCCTGCTGAAAAATACATGAGGAAACCCACACCTGTTTCCAGGTAACCGATACAGCCTGAATCCTGAACCGTGACAGTGTGTGTGTATGTGGTTGCGTGCATGGGGTTGTGTGTGTGTGCTCACATCGGCAATCGCTTGATTCCTCTAACTGATCAGATGCTTCATAGGGATGTTACCAGCAACCTGTGTTCCTGACAAGAGACATTGCCAATCTAATTGGGATACAACATGTAACAGCACAGGCCTACAACACTCTAGACAGACCTAGAGTGAGTCAGGTCAAAGTTCCATCGAGGCTGAGTCGTTGTCTAAGAGCTGGAAGTGTACGAATGAGAAACTGAGAAGACCTGAAGAGGGTACTTGGTGGAGGGTGGCCTGCCTCAAGAAGCTGTGAGGCCTTACTGAGAGTTGTTTCAACAGTACTAGAGGTCCTCTAGGGTGAACAAGCATGAATCCCATATGGAAAGTGTACAAGAGCAAAGTGATGAAGACCCTGAACCCGGACCTAGAGGAGTACACGGAGGAAGAGGTAGAGAACAAAAAGCCTATCTTTCATCTGCAGCTTTCCCCTGCAGATTTCTTGCTCTCCCTGATTCGAGTTTGTGTTCCTCAAATTCAAGTTTGTGTTCCCAGGTGTGTGCACTGATGTCAGATCAGGTAAAGAGATAGCAAGCAAGTAAGTGTGCTGATCTAGGATCAAGTCCCCACCCCCACTAATGTAATATTATTCACTGTGATCTAAAAGGTACAACTGATCCTAAATCAGCACTCCTACTCTAAGACGCTTGATACACACGACCGCTCATTTAGGATTGCGGTGGGTTCTCACAGCGACATATCTGTTGGTTTGCTTTTTCATTGTTGTTGAAGTTTGACTTATATCATTTTGTTCCACTCACAAAGGCTTATTTCTGCTGGAACTTTGAGGAAACTGCAGAGCAGTTCCTCTTGTGCTTTGTTATAGTTTTGGCCAAAACATGCTAATTACTGTGTCATAGGCTTTCAATGTCAAAATCGAAACCCAAATCATTGCTACACTGCATTCGGAAAGTATTCAGACCCCTTGACCTTTTCCATATTTTGTTACTTTACAGCCTTATTCTAAAATGGATTTAAAAGTTTTCCTTCCTCATCAATCTACACACAATACCTCATAATGACAAAGCAAAAATTTTATTTTTAAAACAATTTATAAAAAATACAAAACTGAAACATTTACTCAGACCCTTTACTCAGTACTTTGCTGAAGCACCTTTGGCAGCGATTACAGCCTAGAGTCTTCTTGGGTATGACGCTACAAGCTTGGCACACCTGTATTTGGGGAGTTTCTCCCATTCTTCTCTGCAGATCCTCTCAAGCTCTGTCAGGTTGGATGGGGAGCGTCACTGCACAGCTATTTTCAGGTCTCTCCAGAGATGTTCGATCGGGTTCAAGTCTGGGCTCTGGCTGGGCCACTCAAGTACATTCAAAGACTAGTCCCGAAGCCACTCCTGTGTTGTCTTGGCTGTGAGCTTAGGGTCGTTGTCTTGTTGGAAGGAGAACCTTTGTCCCAGTCTGAGGTCCTGAGCACTCTGGAGCAGGTTTTCATCAAGGATCTCTCTGTACTTTGCTCCGTTCATCTTTCCCTCAATCCTGACTAGTCTCCCAGTCCCTGCCACTGAAAAACATCCTCACAGCATGATGCTGCCACCACCATGCTTCGCTGTAGGGATGGTGCCAGGTTTCCTCCAGACATGACACTTGGCATTCAGGCCAAAGGGTTCAATCTTGTTTTCATCAGACCAGAGAATCATGTTTCTCATTGGTCTGAGAGTCTTCAGGTGCCTTTTGGCAAATTCCAAGCAGGCTAGAATGTGCCTTTTACTGAGGAGTGGCTTCCGTCTGGCCACACTACCATAAAGGCCTGATTGGTGGAGTGCTGCAGAGATGGTTGTCCTTCTGGAATGTTCTCCCATCTCCACAGAGGAACTCTGGAGTTCTGTCAGAGTGACCATCGGGTTCTTGATCACCTCCCTGACCAAGGCCCTTCTCCCCCAATTGCTCAGTTTGGCCGGGCGGCCAGCTCTAGGAAGAGTCTTGATGGTTCCAAACTTCTTCCATTTAAGAATGATGGAGGCCACTGTGTTCTTGGGGACCTTCAATACTGCAGACATTTTTTGGTACCCTTCCTCAGATATGTGCTTCGACACAATCCTGTCTCGGAGCTCTGCGGACAATTCCTTCAACCTCATGGCTTGGTTTTTGTTCTGACATGCACTGTCAACTGTGGGACCTTATATAGACAGGTGTGTGCCTTTCCAAATCATGTCCAATCAATTGAATTTACCACAGGTGGAACTCCAATCAAGTTGTAGAAACATCTCAAGGATGATCAATGGAAACAGGATGCACCTGAGCTCAATTTCGAGTCTCATAGCAAAGGGTCTGAATAGTTATTTAAATGAGGTATTTCTGTTTTCATTTTAAAAACATTTGCAAAAATTTCTACAAACCTTTTTTGGCTTCATCATTATGGGGCATTGTGTGTAGATTGATGATGATTTTTATTTATTTAATCAATTTTAGAATAAGGCTGTAACATAACCAAATGTAGAAAAAGTCAAGGGGTCTGAATACTTTCTAAATGCACTAGCTACTGGTTTATTCATATGAACTTTCACCCCACCCTCATTCTGTAACCTATGTTAGCTAATATGATGGACATACTATCAGTGATACCCGATATTGAAGGGTTTAAAAATTCCAAAGGGCTTTCGATGATTGAGTTCTCAGGATTTTTCCTTGTCTCTTGACACCCATCGGGTGTCTAGGATTGATACGGACTGTAGGAACAAGGATGACCCAGTTCTTCGGAACGTCTGGAAACCTGATCCCGAACTGGAGCTGCATACACAGATTAGATGGCATTCCAGTGACAGGGGATGAGACGGATACAAACAGATAGCCAAGCCCTGTATTGAAGTCTCAGAGTAGGAGTGCTGATCTAGGATCAGTTTTGCCTATTAGATAATAATGACTAATATTATATGAATGGGGGGGGGGGGGGGGGGGGGGGGGGGCTATGTGAAGGATACTGCATTAGAATGATGTGTGAATACATAGTTCTTTGAGCTTTGGGGACTTTAGCTGTCATCGTTCTTACTGTATGTCTGAGAAAAGCAAAGTATATTTACCCTCTTGGAAATTACCTCTGTGGCATCTTTTTTTTATTCTTCAAGTGGATACAGAAATAAAGTAGGCTGTATATTCTCCCTCAGTTTATTATCTTTGGCATAATGGATTAAAATGAATCCACAGGGATAACTCAGATATTACTTCTTCAATACAGGAAATGATGTTGCTACAAATGAGGATTTTGCTGTTGATGTGGATTATGTGTTACATTTGGGACACTGTTCCAGCATTTTCAATGACAGACTTTTCCTTGACATTTTCTGTGTATTTCTTTTTCTGGAAAGTCCTTGTAGCATCTGTATTAACCCACTAGAGGGCAATCACTACCAATAAATTAAACGCACTGTAAAGCAAGGTAGCAGATCACAGCCTGTGTTTTTACTCAGCGCTCAGTACTTCACTATCAACACTGCTGTGGCTGACAATATAAATGTGTGATGATCATTGCTGGGCTTGTGTTCCCAGGTCAATAATGCAGAGATTGACATGAGTCCTGTCCAGGAGGATGAGGGGCCCAATGCAGTGTCTCAGCTGGCCAAGAGAGTAAGCACACACACACACACACACACACACACACACACGGCATGGAACTTAATACAGACTTTACACCTTCATCTTACATTAATCTTACAAATTCCGAAGGATTGGCATTGGACACTGTGTGTGTGTGTTTAGATGCAGGGTGCCGGGGCTAAAGGCTGGAACAGGATGTCAGCGCTCTTCAACAAAGAGGACGAGCACCAGCTATTGGAGGAGACTGAGAGCCCGCCTGTCCCTGACCAGTCAGTGGGACTCTACTCTTCTACACAGCTCTCTATCCCCCCCTCCTCTTCCTCCTCCTCCTGAACATGGAAATATTAGCCATGTCTGATGAACTAATGCTCAATTAAATAAATAAATCATGTAATTTATATTCATTGAGTTAAACATATAATGATACACAAAATGACGATCCCACTCTCTCCCTTGTATCCCCAGTCCACTAGCTGTGATGCCTGAGGAGCCGCAGAGACCGGCCAGACCCTCAGGATTCTGGGGTAGCTTCGCCACCAACTGGAAACAAATGGCCGCCTCTAAACAAGCTGAAGCCGCAGCAAACGAGGCGGGCACGATGGAGGAGGGTCAGGAGGCGGTGGGGGAGGGAGGTGGCGAGGGAGGAGGGGGGGAGAGTTACCAGGGGGAGAGCGCGGAGGGAGAGCAGATTCAAGACGGAGGAGGAGGGAGCAACACCAGCTTCTCCAAATACGCCATGCTGGGAGGAGGGAGCGAGAACACGCCCTTCAAGTGGAACTTTGTCACAGGCAAGCTGGCTGAGTTGAAGACCAAGAGCATGGCTGGCCAACAAGACTAACAAGCCAGTTGTATGGGGGTGGGATGGGGTCTGGGACAGGGGTTGAGCCTGGTCCCAGATCGTTTTATGCTGTCTTGCCAACATTGCATAGCAGTGACCATAGGAGTTGGCAAGACAGCGCAAACAGATCTGGGAACAGGCTACTCGTAACCCACTATCATCTTCATTCTACTTGCTCTGGTGTAGATTGTAACCTCCACATCAACACCAGTAGCAAGGATGGCAGTCTGTTGCTGCTGTAGCCAACTTGTTGTCGCTTTGCAAGTTGGTGATAAAGCAGTTGGTTTAAGCAGAAACAGACTGGCATTCAGGCTAACCTGAGCCACAACATCAGATGATTCCTAATCCCAAAATCGACTTTTCAGATCTAAGGGAGTGTATAGGGAGTAGGGACTAGGGGTCGATTTGGAATTTAGCACTCATCTCCCTTTCCATACCTTCTCCATAGTGTTGAACTGTACAGCATTTGAAGCACAGTGGCACCCATAGATGGCATTTAGTTCATGTCATAGGACTCGTACCTGAAAATGACACCAACAAACAGGCTGGATTAGATCAGTCAACCAACAATACCAGATTAAGAGATTACAGATTACACACAGAGAGGGATAGTGAGATTAGGTGTTGGATTATGGCACACATTTGGAAAGGGATTTCATAGCTGATGAGATGATAAGATTTTGCTTTTGCTGTAAACCATTTTGCAATGTATATAGGAAATATCTAATATTTTCTTGTGAAATTAAGAATGGGGGAAATAGGATGTACAAAATTTGAATGTTTGTGATTACATGGCCTTTCAGGACATAATATTTGGCTAACTGTTCTGGGTGACTGGAGGTGATGGTTTGAGTGTCTTGGGTTTAACTTATTTTGGCATGAGACTGGTAACTTGTTACAAAGCATAATTGCAGTGTGACTCTGCTGCATCCCTTTTGTGACACTTGTCTGTAAGAAAGTCATGTGTCCATATTGTTATTCTGTCTGTCTAGCCTGTTTTCCAATACGCTTTTCAAATGTTTTGTTCTGATGTGTTGCTACCTCTTGTGCACCAATAAAGACTATTGCACTAGTAATTCACCATCAAGAATGACAGGTCAATGAGGCAAAGCACATGTAAGGGCGTAGGTCTGACTTCAACATTGGGGTGGGACAATATCGCCTCTTTTTTAATATTGACCTTGTAAGATACATGCTTGCATGTGAGCCCAAAGCACATAAGAGCCAATAGACACGTGAGAACATGACAGAGGACATAGACAAATGACAGCCAGGCCTTTCTCACAATAGCTCACTACAGGAGGAGGGGATATACAGCTGGGGGAGTCATTAACTTACATGTGAACTCCTATACGTGCTGAGACCACATGAGGTCTATGGGAGTAGTGTGGGAAGATCTAAGACACCCCTTGAGCCTTGTTGTCATGTGTACATGTCTGTGTGAGCCTGGTCATGCTGTGCATCTGTCTGTCTGTGATCATGGCCTGGTTACTATGGCATGGGTCCAACTGTTGTCTCATACCTCTCACCCTCAGGGTCAGTGAAGTCACAACCTTTCTTGTTTTTGGACAGAAGATAAGTGGGGATATGAGAGGAGAGCAGGGGTTAGTTTGAAGAGTTTACAAGGTTGTGCTTTAGAGGGAAGTCTTCTACAGTCAACAGCAGGGGGTGATATTTGCCAAGTCATGGGTCAACTTCACAGTGAGTATGGTACTACTGGAAAGTACTCTGGATGGCTCTCACTTGCAGTCATCTGTTATATAACAGTATAGCTCTCAATTATCAATCAATCAATCACATTTTATTTATAAAGCCCTTTTTACACCAGCAGATGTCACAAAGTGCTATACAGAAACCCAGCCTAAAACCCCAAACAGCAAGCAATGCAGATGTAGAAGCACGGTGGCTAGGAAAAACTCCCTAGAAAGGCAGAAACCTAGGAAGAAACCTAGATAGGAACCAGGTTCTGACGGGTGGCCAGTCCCCTTCCGGCTGTGCCGGGTGGAGATTATAACAGTACATGGCCATTAAGGCCAGATTTTTCTCCAAGATGTTCAAACATTCATAGATGACCAGCAGGGACAAATAATAATCACAGTGGTTGTAGAGGTTGCAACAGGTCAGTACATCAGGAGTAAATTACACTTGGCTTTTCATAGCCGGGCATTTAGAGGTTGAAATAGCAGGTGTGGTAGAGAGAGAGAGTTGAAAACAGCAGATCTGGGACAAGGTAGCACGCCCAGTGAACAGCTCAGGGTTCCATAGCCGCAGGCAGAAGAGTGGAAACAGGAGTAGCAGCACGACCAGGTGGACTGGGGACAGCAAGGAGTCATCAGGCCAGGTAGTCCTGAGGCATGGTTCTAGGGCTCAGGTCCTCCGGGATGGGAGGGAGAGAGGGAGAGAATTAGAGGGAGCATACTTAAATTCACACAGGACACCGGATAAGTCAGGAGAATAACACCAGATATAACAGACTGACCCTAGCCCCCCGGCACATAGACAATTGCAGCATACAACACACAATTCAGTCCCATTCAAATTACTCTTTATTTAATGTCATATAAGTTCTCTCTCTCTATCACACATACGCACACACTGTCTTGTATAACTAACCTTGTGGGACACACAATTTAGTCCCATTCAAATTCCTATTTTCGCTAACCCCTAACCCTAACCCTAAACCTCACCTTAACCCTAACCCTAACCTTAACCCGAAAACCTAACCTTAACCCTAAACCTAACGCTAGCTCCTAACCCTAACCCCTAATATTTACATATAGCCAGAATACATACAGGCCTGCCCATGCTTCCTATCGGTAACTTCCTCCCAGATGGACAGCTTTATTGTCATTTACAGCAGACAGACAGACAGACTACAGTACCTCTCCCTTCCTCTCTCTGTCAGTTCCTTTCCCCCTTTTATTTCCTCTCTCACCATTCTGTTTGCTCCATATCCTCTCTGTCTGCTCTCAATCCAATTTCCTGTCTAACCGATACGCTTCCTGTCTCAAAATGTTAGTCAATTATGTTGAAAAAATGTAAATCCACTAGCAAAGTAGAAGTAATGGTAACTTCCAAATGGAGAATTGATTTGGAACCATCAGTGAGTTGGTGGAGTTACGTCCCAAATGGCATCCTATTCCCTATATTGTGCATTATTTTCTACCAGAGACCTATCCCACTGAGCACACACTGGTTGAATCAACGTTGTTTCCACATCATTTCGATGAAATTGAACCAACGTGGAATAGTCGTTGAATTGACGTCTGTGCCCAGTGTGATGGGCCCTGGTCAAAAGTAGTACACTAAATAGGGACTGCCACATCCTCAATCAACCCCTATTTATTTCCCCTATGGACTTTACTCTATTACTCGACAGTGAAAAGAGAATCCATTTATATTGATCCCCTTTCATCACTGGGCTATACGACAATCCCTCTGTAGTGTGTGGCAGTGTGACAGTTGACACAGAAAGGGTGATGCCACAGCTGTCAGCCTCTGTTTGAATCACAACAAGGCATGTCCCCTTCCCACCCCTCATGTCCCCTTCCCACCCCTCATGTCCCCTTCCCACCCCTCATGCCCCCTTCCCTCCCCTCATGTCCCCTTCCCACCCCTCATGTCCCCTTCCCACCCCTCATGCCCCCTTCCCACCCCTCATGTCCCCTTCCCTCCCCTCATGCCCCCTTCCCTCACCTCATGTCCCCTTCCCACCCCTCATGTCCCCTTCCCTCCCCTCATGCCCCTTCCCTCCCCTCATGTCCCCTTCCCTCCCCTCATGTCCCCTTCCCACCCCTCATGTCCCCTTCCCACCCCTCATGCCCCCTTCCCACCCCTCATGTCCCCTCCCCTCCCCTCATGTCCCCTTGCCACCCCTCATGTCCCCTTCCCACCCCTCATGTCCCCTTCCCAACCCTCATGTCCCCTTCCCTCCCCTCATGCCCCCCTTCCCACCCCTTCCCACCCCTCATGTCCCCTTCCCTCCCCTCATGTCCCCTTCCCACCCCTCATGTCCCCTTCCCACCCCTCATGTCCCCTTCCCTCCCCTCATGTCCCCTTCCCTCCCCTCATGCCCCCTTCCCTCCCCTCATGTAGAGCATGAGGGAATCACAAAGTGCACGTTGACAGACTGTGTTCACAGTTTGAACTGAGAGTACACTTCAGTGAGGGGAAATGAGGGCACACAGAAACACAATGAGGTTGAGGCCAAATCTCCAGTGTGCTGAAGTTTACTGGATGTCTAGGCTTCAAATATGTGTCAGTGAGCATTGGGTCACATAAGCATGTTTAGTCCATCAATAGGATAAACAAATGTGTTTGGTTGAGCTAATGTATAATGTGCAACAGTGATTTTATATAATACACAATGTACACAAGTATAGTGTTCCCTGAATGTGTGTATATGTTTAAGTGGAGGGTTATTTATTCACTTGTTTGAGAAACTGTAAAGAGAGAGAGAGTGAGAGAGAGAGAGAGAGAGAGAGAGAGAGAGAGAGAGGAGAGAGGAGAGAGAGAGAGAGAGGAGAGAGGAGAGAGAGAGGAGAAAGAGATGGAGAGGAGAGAAAGAGGGAGAGAGAGGAGAGGAGGAGAGAGAGAAAAAGAGAGAAAAAGAGAGAGAAAATGAGCGCGAGAGAGAGCGAGAGAGCAACAGCAACAGCGACTGAGATAGAGTGAGAGAAAGTGACAGAAAGAGAGAGATAAAAAAAAGAGGGCAAGCAGAATCAGAAGGGTGTTGAAGGTTGTAACAGAGTGAGCCACAACAACCCCAACCCCTAGATTAGGGTGTTTAGGTTGAAGTACTCAATCTTATCTTGACATTACATGACTCACAGATGCCCAGGCATACAGGTTGTCTCGTCTGGCGCCCTGCCTTGTTGAGAGCAGTACATCCCTGTTTAAATATGTAAGCCAAACCACAAGGCCTTTTCATAGGGGTGTATGGAGACACTTGAAAACTCTCTGTATCTCTCTTCACTCTCTTTCTCTCTCTGTCGCTCTGTCTGTCTCACTCTTTCTCTCTGGAAACCTGACCCTACCAACCCTGTGTCCTGTGCCATATGGCCAATGAATGTTCTGTCCCCTTATGTTTCCTGCTCTGTTCCCTCTGGGCCTCCCATGTCTGCAGGTGTGTCTCTACTGCTACCTCCCTCTCTACTACATTCCAAGACATGATCCCAGATTGTCAGAGGCTGGGTCTTGTTTTCTTTTTGAACCGCTGAATGACTGAACAACGACGACTAAACAGTAACACTCCTGTGCACAACACTGCCTGGTGGCTGAGTTCTTCCATAAAGTAAGAACTGCCAACAAAAGCAGGCCCACAAATGCTGTGTGAGCATGTGTTCATTGTTGCACTTAGCCCACACTATTTGACCACTCTTTCCTGGATCAGGAGAAGAAGGTAGCAGGTAGTTTTGAAGTTTAATGAGCAGAGTTTGTAAGGGATTCTTTCTCACCCAAAATGCCCTATTGTGGTGAGGATACCTTTGTAATTATCGTGATGTGTAAAATTACACCTAGTTAATTATAGCATCAATATAATGAGAAAAAACATGTGCCTTTAACTATGAATCTAATGCTACTAACCTTAGAAGCATTTAACAAAGTACATTTTGTAATGCTACTGGCACATGTATTAGACACAGTGCATGTTCTAGATCAACAAAATTGCAGTCAGACTGAATAATCACTGGTCCACAAATCATCTTGCATCCCAAATAACTGGTCATTATATGATGAAGATTAGCAATTCTGTGCCTCACCTTGCTCAAACTGATCTCCACAAACACAATGACAGACAAGTGAAGAGGATATTACATTTACATTTTAGTCATTTAGCAGACGCTCTTATCCAGAGCGACTTACAGTTAGTGAGTGCATACATTTTCATACTGCCCCCCCGTGGGAAACGAACCCACAACCCTGGCGTTGCAAGCGCCATGCTCTACCAACTGAGCTCAAAGGTGACCTCTTGTGAACTGAAGTGCTTTGTCCTCTCCAACCTGTTAATAGATTGTTCCCCTGGTTGGCCCTGAGAGTGAACAGCAGACCAGGTAGACATCCACAGGGGAATTACCCATAAGCCCTTTATTGGTCAGCTATTTAAATCCATCATACAAACAGGATGAGCTCAGCAGGAGACTATTCGTCTGGGGTCATTTTTAGAACATATTTCAAAAGAATTGCTTTGAATCAAATTGCTATGTGATTATAGCTGTAAGTTGATGATGCATTTCCAACTCTGACCACTGAACATCCTGTCCAGTCTGTAAGTCGTCCTGGTCAGTTGAAGTTACACCTCAAACATAGCCAACTGGGGTGTCTGTTTTAGCCCCGACAAGTTCCAACTAGGCTACCCTAAGTATGAAACAGACCTTGAAAATGACCAAAGCTTTCATGTCTTCGTCTCACATGGAAAAATATTGAAATTATATTGCTCACACTTAAGCCACATTTTTGAATTTGGCTCTAATGTCTCTCCTTTTACAAGCATAGTAAAACAAACAGTAAAGCCAGTCACCTGATGACTCACACACACAGGCAGCAGTCCCATCTGGAAACCTACCTGTGTGAACACACAAAGCACATAGGGAAACAGATGTGAGGAGGACGGGGTATGTTATTGACCTGTTCACCTGGGTTTCCCCTGTGGATGTCTACCTGGCCTGCTGTTCACTCTCAGGGCCAACCAGGGGAACAATCTATTAACAGGTTGGAGAGGACAAAACACTTCAGTTCACAAGAGGTCACCTTTGAATAAATCTGCTTTTTCTTTTGTTAAACATTTCCATCTCCAATGGAAAAACAGACAGAAGTGTCAGAGTGCACAGGCTAATTATTGGATTCACTCTTGGATTCACAGGTTTTCCTATTTGACAGTTTATAGTTATAAAATATTGTTGATGTCATAGTTATTTCAGCTACGGGGTAAATGACCTGCCAGATGGGCAGAACCAGCTCCTTAATTATTTTCAAAGAAAAACAGCAGATATCCAAAGTAGAGTGAGCTCATACTCCCAATCAAAGTGTTCTGCCGAGAGATACAGTGAGGGAAAAAAGTATTTGATCCCCTGCTGATTTTGTACGTTTGCCCACTGACAAAGAAATTATCAGTCTATAATTTTAATGGTAGGTTTATTTGAACAGTGAGAGACAGAATAACAACAACAAAAATCCAGAAAAACGCATGTTAAAAATGTTATAAATTGATTTGCATTTAATGAGGGAAATAAGTATTTGACCCCCTCTCAATCAGAAAGATTTCTGGCTCCCAGGTGTCTTTTATACAGGTAACGAGCTGAGAGACACCTGTCCACAGAAGCAATAAATCAGATTCCAAACTCTCCACCATGGCCAAGACCAAAGAGCTCTCCAAGGATGTCAGGGACAAGATTGTAGACCTGCACAAGGCTGGAATGGGCTACAAGACCTTGGTGAGAAGGTGACAACAGTTGGTGCGATTATTCGCAAATGGAAAAACACAAAAGAACTGTCAATCTCCCTCGGCCTGGGGCTGCATGCAAGATCTCACCTCGTGGAGTTGCAATGATCATGAGAACGGTAAGGAATCAGCCCAGAACTACACGGGAGGATCTTGTCAATGATCTCAAGGCAGCTGGGACCATAGTCACCAAGACAACAATTGGTAACACACTACGCCGTGAAAGACTGAAATCCTGCAGCGCCCGCAAGGTCCCCCTGCTCAAGAAAACACATATACATGCCCGTCTGAAGTTTGCCAATGAACATCTGAATGATTCAGAGGAGAACTGGGTGAAAGTGTTGTGGTCAGATGAGACCAAAATTGAGCTCTTTGGCATCAACTCAACTCGCCGTGTTTGGAGGAGGATGAATGAAGGGGTTGCCAAACGTCAGCCTCGAAACCTTAATGACTTGGAGAAGATCTGCAAAGAGGAGTGGGACAAAATCCCTCCTGAGATGTGTGCAAACCTGGGGGCCAACTACAAGAAATGTCTGACCTCTGTGACTGCCAACAAGGGTTTTGCCACCAAGTACTAAGTAATGTTTTGCAGAGGGGTCAAATACTTATTTCCCTCATTAAAATGCAAATCAATTTATAACATTTTTGACATGCGTTTTCCTGGATTTTTTTGTTGTTATTCTGTCTCTCACTGTTCAAATAAACCTACCATTAAAATTATAGACTGATAATTTCTTTGTCAGTGGGCAAACGTACAAAATCAGCAGGGGATCAAATACTTTTTTCCCTCACTGTATCTTCCCTTTTCGTTTGAGTTCTGGCCTCTGTCTCACTCAGAGGAACTCTGTCACGCATCCATAATCCAGAAGTGATAATGTGTTGATGATGCAGTCAGTGTGTGTGTGTGTGTGTGTGACTTTGTGTGTGTGTTAAATAATAGGACATGCTCACAGTGCAGTCATATGAGAAAACATAGAGTTGACAGCTAGCTGGGTATCTATTGCTTTTCCTGTCCTCCTTTTAAACCCAGAAAGCTGATCTGAAATCTGTGGCCTGGCTGTGTGAGGATTGAGGAAATCTCCAAGGTTTTTCGCAGGGAGAGGAAAAGAAGATGGAAAGCGGTCCAATTATTCACACACCCTCTTCTGTTCCTTCTAACCCATTCACGTTGCCTTGGGATTCTCACAGGAACAGGAGTGGCCGAGTTTCCAGCTCTCAGTTCGTAATCTGCCAACTCAATCTCAGCCTCTGTAATCTCCTGGGTCTTTAGGGGTGGATTTGGGACACTCCCTACACCCCTCCCCTTTTCGCTATCTCCCCCACTATCTCCATCAGAGGGGTAATCTCGCCATTCCACCATCATCTCATACCCCCCAATCTCCCCTAAAACTCCCACAACACACACAAGCCTTTAGAATCCCCCCAGCCTCTCCACCCCTCCGACCACCCCATCCCCCATCAGCTACCTCTCTCTTTCTTCCTCCACTCTTTCACTGCAGGACAGTTTATCCCACCTCCCAAACTTGGGACTGTCGCCTCAGTCCTCTGTAAATACAGTAGATTGATTTGTCTATGGTGATTATTATTATCTGTAACAAGGGTTTAGGGGTTGAGGGACTGACTATTAAATGTCTAGGGAGTCAATACGTTCTCTGTCAATTATGTGCACATTCATCTGTGCCGTCTTGAAGCCTGCTGCCTGCTTAACATTGTTATATTGATTTTCCCTCAGCCATTATGTTTTGCATAAAGAGTTAGAGCAGAGAACTGCTATCCAATAAGTAAAATAATGTAAGGATTATCGCAAACGTTATACAAATCACAGTGAAACCATCTTTGAACTGCAACTGACATCTTTCTCTGACAGTTAATACTGATGAATAAGGACACGTTGTATACTTTTCTTTCATTTCATTCAATTCAATCATTCAGTTCAATCCAAAACAGTGTCATGGTTGTTGTTGGACAGTCAAAGTGACCCTCATAATGTGGTGTTATGAGTTTTGTCTTTGCTTTGTATATTTGGAACATGGTGGCTCTAGAATGCAGGATGAGTTCAGCAACCCCTCACAAAAAGTGTCACGTTTCTGTTTCTACAGCTGTTTGGGATGTTGTTCTTTGCTCTGCTCCTGTGTTGCAGCTAGAGCCCCCCCCCCCCCCCCCCCCCGCTCCCTTTCAAACCCAGCCCTCTCCCCTTCCTAAACCCCACAGGGGGAAGGGACCACTACTGAAATAGGCTCAGTCCTAGCATAAGATATGGCAATATCAAACAAATAGCTAAGTCATAATCCTCAACATAACAAACCAAGGAGGAAATGTCATATTGGTCTGCCGAATGATAAAACCAGAAGACAATATCCATACTTCAATACTTCACATCTTGTCTGAGATCAGTGCCTTAGAACAGTCAATGGATGGCGGGGGCAGATAGGCCTATATGTCCATTCTTGACCCATGAGCTCGTCTTCCACCCCTTCCACACCTCACACTCCCCCTTACTCCTGCAGTAGCCATGCATGCCCCCATCCGTCCCGCCTGTCATCAAGGTGTCATTAAAAGCCCTAGTCTGCATGTCTGCTAGTCGTTCCTCCGTGGGCCCTGACAGAAATCCCTCCTCATGCCGCCTAGCTCCTCCGTCTCTATTTCGGACTGACCTGAGAATCTGGTGTGTCGCTGGGTACTGGGGGGGTTGATGGGGAGTTGATAGAGGTTGTCAGGAGGCAGCGCTATTGTGGGATAGAGAGGATTGGGGGGTAGGGAAGTGGGGATTGGGCTTTAATCTTGACCCGTATGGATTTAACTGGCCAAAAAAAACAGAACATTTAAGATGTGCCTCCCCCACAAACGGGATAATACACAATACAAAGGGATAACTCAGATATGACAATCCTCTTTGGATGTCGCAAGAGCTATTGAATCCTATTTGTGGACCCCATTGGCCATATTATTTTACACATATTTAACACCTTTTTTGTGTAGGCACAAAACTACCTTCATCCTTCCATTCAATTTTTAAAACCGGTACCGGTTTCCTTCAGACGACTCTAAACTGACAGATTTTGATGAGGATTTTTGTATTATGTTACTTAGATTAACGCACCAGTGTATCAATCGACTCTAAGGGGAACACCTGCTCTTTCCATGACATAGACTGACCAGGTGAATCCAGGTGAAAGCAATGATCCCTTATTGATGTCACTTGTTAAATCCACTTCAATTAGTGTAGATTAAGGGTCCTCCAGGTTAAATAAGGATTTTTAAGCCTTGAGACAATTGAGACATGGATTGTGTATGTGTGCCATTCAGAGGGTGAATGGGCAACATGAAAGATTGAAGTGCCTTTGAACGGGGTATGGTAGTAGGTTCCAGGCGCACCGGTTTGTGTCAAGAACTGCAATGCTTCTGGACTTTTCACGCTCAACAGTTTCCCGTGTGTATCAAGAATGGTCCACCACCCAAAGGACATCCAGCCAACTTGACCCAACTGTTAGAAGCATTGGAGTCAACATGGGGCAGCATCCCTGTGGAATGATTTCGACACCTTGTAGGGTTCATGCCCTGACGAATTGAAGCTGTTCTGAAGGCAAATGGGGGGTGCAACTCAATATTAGGAAGGTGTTGCTAATGTTTGGTATTCTCAGTGAACTGTATATTGGTTTTAACCAGACTGTAAGCCCAGTTTGACAGGGCCAAACATTGGATAGAGCGACTGCTCCCAGAGTTTAAAGGCCTGGATTAGTGCTGCGCAAATCCCTTCAGTCAACATCCTTAGGTGACATCATGCAGGTGATTTGCTTTGAGGAAGGCCTAATTGAGTCACTCAATAACTTTACACCTGTCTGAGTGACAGGTGAATTAACCAATTAGACACCTGGGTTAAGCTCTGGCCCCTCAGGGCGGTTTCTGTCCCTCCATGTCATTTGAGGACCCCACAGGACCACACAGAGCCCAGCCCGTCCGTACTGTGCCTGAGGGTCATTTGCAGAAAGGCCTGTATTAAGACATAGACAAAGCCATCTGCTGTCTGTAATTTGAAGAATTAAATGTCCTCTATTCATTTTCGAGGACATAGTTATCTTTGTGCCACTTTGCACAGTTGTTGTTTGCTCATTTGGGTTTGCATTGACGCATAAATATCACAGGCAATACATTACTTTTGATTGAATATAATAATAATATGCCATTTAGCAGATGCTTTTATCCAAAGCGACTTACAGTCAAGTGCGCATGCATTTTTACGTATGGGTGGTCCCGGGGATCGAACCCACTACCCTGGCGTTACAAGCGCCATGCTCTACCAATTGAGCTACAGAGGACCACATAAATAAACATTCACTCTCCAATTCAAATTAGCGATTCTCCTGCAAGAGGAATGTTTGTTGTGATTTCCACGTTGATTAAGGATATTTCTCAGCCAAGCAAACAAAATTGCTCAGAGGGTTACATATAAATAGACTTCCCTGTAAAACATTATGCATCTCTTCTTCTCATCCTCTCTCTGAGCTGGTTTCCTTTCATTAACTGGAGATTCAGTATATATACAGTTAGCCTACAGTACATGTACTCCTGATGATCATTGCATAAGTACTGTGCTTAAATGTAGAAATACAAATAATCTTATGAAAAACGTGAAACATATAGAGCCACCCTCTATATGACACCAGGAAATTAAAAAGTATATATTTTTAAACGTATAATCACAGATATACAGTAATTAGAGAGAAGATTTGACTCTGCTCTATATCAGGGTCCTACTCCTCCCTGTCAGCAGATGTTCAGATTCTGTGCATCCCTATATATCACTCATTTACACATAACTCTTGGTCATCAATGACTTATGATGGACAGTCAGAGTTTTGACTGAGAACTGATGAATTCCTGATATGGATGCCATATAGTAACTCTAGCTAGTTTCGACAGTGGACAATGTGGTGGGCAGATATCCTCTAATATTATGGCGGCCATTTTTGGCTGCTATCTCAGGGGAGGTCCTGAGCAGCATGGCGCCGTGGTGAAGGGCCATTCCTCTCCATGCCAACCAGGCAGGGGTTAAATAAGGAACGGCGAAACCCCAGAGCAGTGGGCGACTGTGGGCGAGGTCATACACACACACTCTGGTCTGCTTTGATGTTGGTCAGTCGGGGCTGGAGCACAGCAGGCAATCCCACAGGAGCCTAAGGAGAAACCCCATAGGGAGGAGTGACACTACACTCTGCTCTCCGTCTATACTCTCACACAGAGCCACTTACACTACCTGTCTCTAAGTTTAGCTTAGAAATCTTATTAAAGGGATACTTCGGGATTTTGGCAATGAGGGCCTTTATCTACTTCCCATGAGTCGGCTGAACTCATGGATACCATTTTTATGTCTATGTGTCCAGTAATGAAGGAAGTTAGAGGTAGTTTCCTGAGCCATGCTAGCAGATACACATAGACTTCCTGTCATTGCGCTAACGCTAGTTAGCATTGGCTTGCTAGTATCCCTTTAACACATAGCCTAGATTTCGAGGCTTAATAACGTTTGTTTGCTCCAGAAACGGAGTAATTCACTTAAATTGGACAGTGAACAACATACCTACTTCCCTGTAAAAAGCCTGGGAGTTGTGTGTTTTCAGTCCCACTCTCTACCCCATATCCTGGGACCTAACTTGGTTTAGCTTCCTGCTCCGTGGGAATATGTGTAAACTCGTCCCATGCAGATATACAGCCGGCAATTAGAGGGAGAGAGACAGAAGACGGTAAATTACTACCAAATCCTCCCTGCCGGCCAGTCCCCTGAGTCTGGCTGCTTTCTAATCAGGAGGTTTCAGAGTGGTAGGCCTCCTTTCTCTCTCACACTGCCCCAAGGTCACAGTCTTAAAGGGATACTTTGGGATTTTGGCAATGAGTCCCTTTATCTACTTCCCCAGAGTCAGATTAACTTGTGGATACCATTTTTATGTCTCTGCCTGCAGTTTGAAGGAAGTTGCTAACTAGCGCTAGTGCAATTGCTAACTAGCGTTAGCGGAATGACTGGAATTCTATGGTATCTGCTAGCATGCATTGGCTCGTGAAACTACTTCTAACTTCCTTCATACTGGAGTCATAAAAATGGTATCCACGAGTTCATTTGCCAAAATCCCAAAGTATCCCTTAAAGCTGTGACGGATTCTCCTCTTATGAGCAGAAATATGGTTGTTTTCCCCCTTTTTTTTATAAGGAGACATATTTCAGTTTCTCAATCAGACCTGTTATATCTTTGTACATTGCACAAACAAATTTAACGGCTTGGGTAACACATCAAAGCTCAAACCAAGGAAAGGAGCAAGTCACTCACTAGTTAAAGCTGGCCCATATTGTGAACATGTGGGGATATGAGACAGTTTTACCTGGCTCTGAGAAAACATCAAGAACTGAAAGTGAAATAGAGTAAACGAAAACAGCGGGGATGCAATAAGTACGATTACATTGTGCGGGTTTTAGTATGAACTTTAAACTCCCTGGGAGTCGAATGTCAAAGCATGAAAGGTCTAGTTGAAGGTTTTTACTAACACGTCTACTGAACATGGAGCAGCTGTCTGCCTGATGTTTGCTCCACGTTAGTTCCCACATGACTAGGAATAGATCGGAACATATGATTAGCCAACTCTCCTCACCACAGATCCTCTTTTACCAAACTATTCGATTTAAGAACGCTGCTGTACATTTTAGCAATATACTGTATAGTAAACCCAAGTTGCAATGAATATAATTGTTTTTTATGTCTCATAAAGAAAATTAATATTATTACTGACAATTTATGAGTGATATAAGCCTAAACATAGCAAGAATTGGCACATTTACATATATATATTTTTTTTTCTTCAGAAAATGCAATTGTTCATGTTTCATAAGAGGTGTCATATAGGGTTCACGTCTTAACAGATCCATTTTGAGTTCACTGTACATTCACAGAGCCGATAAACCCAACACACCCAGGCTACCCCCAGGTTAGTTCCATGTTTGGTTCCAGCATTGTGTTTCCCCTGACCCTCTCCCTGCCCTGTCATCAAAGCAGCCTGAACCACTCAACTCCTGACCACAGAGTCTCTCTGTCCTCTCTGCACCACCCAGCCAAAACACAAGGATTAACTGGCACAGTGCTGTTCATTACTTTCTCACCTCTCTCCTCTGGCAATCTATCCTCCGGTATCTGGTAATTCAATTAGCGTATTGTGGTAGCTAGCTAGTGTATTATGATGTGGCTAAGGGTATGACACAGTACTAAGGCATTAGCTGGTCACCACCAATGCTTTAATCTACCATGATCCTTGGTCTTCTCAGTCACAGTAAAAACATCACTGAAACAACATGTAATTAGATTAAATTAGTCAATATCAGTCCGCTTTTATATGACATGTGTTGGATGACTAAGTAAACTGTTTGTGTTGTAATTTGCCACTTAGACTCTTGAGGCTTTGCTGCTGTCGCTAATGACATTATCACATTTTCACAGCTGACGCAAAGTCGAGAGTGTGAGAGGGTGTTACTGTGTCTGAGTGAGATGTTTTGACTAAGGAAGTCTATAGCCTACTAACATTCCAAAACACCCAAGCCACCAGCATCTCAATAAACGTTGGTTTCGGTTTCGGTTCAACAAGAACTAGTCAACCCTTGCCCCACAATGGGCTCCATTGACCTCGCCACCACATACAGAAAATAAAACACATAAAACTCTTGTCTGCTCTTCCTGTAAGTTTCCACCCGAGCCAACCCAACCCCCCTCCATCCCCCTTCGTTGTTGTCTTTGCTGACGTCAAACCTTCTTGTGAAGAGGAGCTAGCTGTGTGTGCTGGTGTCTCCTGGTCAGGTTTCCCACAGGGGCGCACTATACCTCCTCTCCCTGACCCCAGGGAGCGAAGGTCGCATGAGAGAGGGGAGTGAAAAGGGCTGTCTTCTGATTTATGGCCCAGTGGAGCCATTGGATCCCCCTGCATCCCATGGTTTTTGTTAGGAGAGGGGGCACACTGAAGCTGAACCACCCCCCACCCCCACCCCATCTACAGGTTTAGGGTCTAAGGTTTCAAACCTTCACAGAGACAGGGTTGGGTATGGGGAATGGGTGGGTGGGTGGGTGGATGGGTGAAAGAGGTAGGTGCGTTCCTTACTTTCTCTGTAGGTATACAGTGTAAGTAGTTTTGGGTGTTGGAATCAAACAGAGTAGCAGCAGCGTAAAAAGGATGGGGTGAAGGGGGCAGTGCAAATAGTCCGGGTAGCCATGATTAGCTGTTCAGGAGTCTTATGGCTTGGGGGTAGAAGCTGTTGAGAAGTCTTTTGGACCTAGACTTGGCACTCCGGTACCGCTTGCCGTGCGGTAGCAGAGAGAACAGTCTATGACTAGGGTGGCTGGAGTCTTTGACAATTTTGAGGGCCTTCCTCTGACACCGCCTGGTATAGAGGTCCTGGATGGCAGGAAGCTTGGCCCCAGTGATGTACTGGGCCATACGCACTACCCTCTGTAGTGCCTTGCGGTCGGAGGCCAAGCAGTTGCCATACCAGGCGGTGATGCAACCAGTCAGGATGCTCTCGATGGTGCAGCTGTAGAATGTTTTTGAGGATCTGAGGACCCATGCCAAATCTTTTCAGTCTCCTGAGGGGGAATAGGCTTTGTCGTGCCCTCTTCACGACTGTCTTGGTGTGTTTGGACCATGATAGTTCGTTGGTGATGTGGACACCAAGGAACTTGAAGCTCTCAACCTGTTCCACTACATCCCCGTCGATGAGAATGGGGGCGTGCTCAGTCCTCTTTTTTTTCCTGTAGTCCACAATCATCTCCTTTGTCTTGGTCACGTTGAGGGAGAGGTTGTTGTCCTGGCACCACACGGCCAGGTCTCTGACCTCCTCCCTATAGGCTGTCTCATCGTTGTCGGTGATCAGGCCTACCACTGTTGTGTCGTCGGCAAACTTAATGATGGTGTTGGAGTCGTGCCTGGCCATGCAGTCATGGGTGAACAGAGATCGTCATAATGAGCGGACCAAGGCGCAGCGTGATATGCGTACATCTCTTTAATAGTGTACTAGCAACACGATACAAAATACAAAACAACAAAATGAAACGTGAAGTCCTCGGTCATGAACACAAACCAACACGGAACAAGATCCCACAAATGACAAGTGCACAAAAGGCTGCCTAAGTATGGTTCCCAATCAGAGACAACAAGCAACAGCTGATTCTCGTTGCCTCTGATTGAGAAACACACCGGCCAACCTAGAAAACACATGAACTAGAAACTGAACATAGAACACAAAACATAGACCCTACACACCCTGGCTCAACATATAAGAGTCCCCAGAGCCAGGGCGTGACACTGATCAGGTTTTGGGAACTACATTACATAACTCCAATACATAACCCTTGAAATATACTGTAGCCTACATCACAGCATGAGTCATAAATGATATAAATCCAGGGCCGTGCACAGACCTTTCAGGGGGCAGGTGCTCAAAATTAAAAAAGCTGACTCACCCAATGATGCACAGCTCATTTGCTGGCTTGGCCGATGCGCTTGTGCCAAAAGCCTCCCACTGGGCACAGACGTCAATTCAACGTCTATTCCACGTTGGTTTAACGTCATTTCATGGAAACAACGTTGATTCAACCAGTGTGTGCCCAGTAGGCTATCACTCTCTTGTAAACAATGTTCGCTCAATAGGCCTATTTGGAAGTTTATAAAATATATATTTCTTTTTTACAGCAGACAGATTACAGTCCTTCCTTTTCAGCAGGATCCATTTACTTTCCAACCTGTGTTTTTCCACAATTTTTTTTTAAATATTGCGAAAGGCCTGTTTTGTTGTGCGTTCCCGACTGTAGGCTATGCCTTATTATTGGGCTACAAACAATCCACAGCTTGGCAATTTAAAAAAAGAAAATATTGATCCTCCGTGGCTAAATTATAGGCATCACAAGCCATGCATGTTTGGACACCGGGCACGCAAAATCTCCATACAGGGCAGACTGGGAAAAAGGCACAACCGGGCGCACGTGAGCTCCGTACATTGCAGACAAACGGACAGGGTAGGGGTGGGGGGTGGTGAACTTGACGACGTCACAACGACTTGGGGGCGGTGGGTTCAGAACAACAATGACAAAAACTGTATACACATTTTTTCTTTACTATACCACCACCCAAAAGGGCACTTAATGAGTGGGAGGGCAAAGGGGCAGGTGCTGGGGTACAGGTAGACCCCTGTCTGTTCACATGCCAGCATAAATCATTGCATGAAGTCATCATCTGTTTGAGTCGTTTCTCCCCCCTGTTATGGAGTTGTAGTTTTCAGTCAGTCGGAGGTTTGTCTCAGGTTTGTGTCACTGGGTACTTGGGCCTGAGCCCCCCCCCACACACATACACACAACCATTTGAGGCCTCCGACTAACTTCCCCCATTAGTTTGTTGTTGTCATTGACTAAGACATCCCTTATGAAAACGTGCCTCAGGAATGCCTCCCATCTCTGTGGCATGTGCTAGCTCTGTCATGTGGATCCTGTGCCGCGGTGGTTGTGTGTTTGCATGCTCTGGTGTAAGTGTGTGTGGTGCACGTGCGTGTATTCATCCCTCTCTCTCTATATCTCTCTATGAGTCATGAATCGGGCTTCTCTCAAGCGTGGACGGTTGCAGCATGCTGGAGCTGCTGGCCCAGAAGAACTAGGCCAGATTTGACACACTTCACAACCCCTGCTAACCCTGACACACATTGCTATTCAGAGCCCAGGGAGGGAAAACACAGAGCACGAATCACTATCCAACAGGGCAAGAACGCACACTAATAATATTGCCAGCAGTAACATACAGTATGTCTTTTTGAGGGGGAAATACTGTATGATGTAAACCTGTCCGAGCAACATGTGACAATGCCTTATAGTACGGTGTCCATATTAGGACAGCCTCAGTCTCAGCAGGCCTTCTGCAGATAGATAGAGACGGGTGCTGGAGACTAGAGTTTTAGAGGTCTCCCATCTCCAGGCAAAAGGAAGTCTGGTTTCCGTCTGCTGATTCCCTAAGATGTTTTCTGTCCCGTTCTATAAACAGGTCAATTATGCTTGTCTGCCACTGACTGCCTTAAGACAACTCTAATATTCATAAAATTGCTAATGTGCATAAGGCTTTCACATTCATAAGGTTTTTGGCGGGTTCAAGAGTTCAGTGTTTGTTATTCTCAGTGATCTCTGATCTAGCCTAGTTCCAGATCTGCTTGTGCCATCTTCCCAATTCCTATGGTCATTGGTGTGACAATGACCAAAGAAGTTGGCAAGACAGCACAAACAGATCTAGGACCAGGCTACCTCTGAACCAGTCCTCATATAAAAATCAGGGCAGCGAACAGAATTTGGGGACTCTTAAGGATATGGTGGTGCTGGGTAAACACATGGTGTTGGAGGTCTGGTCTGGCTCTCTGCAAGGCCCCCCTGAAGTTTAATGTTAGGAAAAAACCCACATCAGCATCAAAGCCGTGGATGGTAGATCCCTGCCAGGTTATCGCCTAATTTCCAAAGGCAAGCCACATTATTTAGAAACCCTTTGATGTCTAACAGGTAGAAACCTTTTAATTTTTAGTATTCTACGTTTGGAAAACAACATTTGGTGAAAATGTCTTTCCATCAATGTAACTTGATATCATCAAATTCAAATGGGCTGCTGCAACTATTGGGTGTTTGGTCTGTTTATCCCGGAAAGGAGAGGAGCAACCGAAAAAACTTGAACATGTGTTAAAAACCTGGTACTACGAACCAATAACAGGATGTAACAGCAGACTCTGTAGTCAGCCCTGACTGACACCCACAGACAGAGAGGATACCTATTGTTCTCCTCAGAGAGAGAGAGAGAGAGAGAGAGAGAGAGAGAGAGAGAGAGAGAGAGAGAGAGAGAGAGAGAGAGAGAGGAGAGAGAGAGAGAGAGAGAGAGAGAGAGAGAGTGTGTGTGTGTTGGATGGGAGAAGGGTTTAGAAGAAAGAGACTGTCTGGCTCTCTCCTCCAAACTAAGACAGAAAGACAGAGAGAGAGGGAAGAAAGGTAGAGAGAGAGAAAATAGAGGGAGAGAGATCGAAAGAGATAGGTATACAGGCAGAGAGAGAGAATAAGAGAGAGAGAGACAGAAAACTGAGAAAATGAAGCGATCGTCCATGGACGTCTCAACCTGACCACCCAGACATAGCATCAGGCCACTGTCTCATTTGTGTTGTCTGTAAACAGGACCTGTTGCAACTCACTCAGGGGTTCTGTATGCTCAGAATGCTAAAGGGATTACCACAGGCAGCCTCTTGAGCTAATGTGAAAAATTAGATGTGAGGTGGTGGAAAGAGACAACAAAGACTCAAGGGCCAGACAACATCAAAACAGTGACTCACTCACTCTTTTCCACCAGTCTGTCCTAAAACAAGTTATGCCATTTACAGAGGAGTTTCTTTCTTCTCAAAAGTAGTTATTAGCCTACTGTAAACAACAGGTTGCCTGTATCCATGAAATGGTTAGCTAAGTTTTTAAGACTTAAGACTGCAATTATGATTGCAACGTTAAAGAGTGGATGATGTCATCATATACTGTTTCTGTCAGACAGACTTTGTCATGCTTCCCTATGGTGTTGATGTGGTATACAGAAATGTGTACTGCTTAATGGTTTTTCTATACTTGTTTATGTCTATTGTAGCTGGAGCCAAAAACAACAAAAAATAAACATTTTTTTTCGCACAAATATGACTTTATTCTTTTTTTTAAAATTATCTTTGGAATAAAAACAAAACCTCTCATATATGGAAAATAAAACATGGATAGAAAAATTTACAGAGCCATTTTGTAAACATGCAAGACAACAGTTTTCTCAGGAGTTTCCAACACAAATCAAGTTTAAAGGGGTGGTCCAGTTGGTTTGGGCAGCAGTGCTACGGACAGAGAGAAAATACCACGTCTCCAAACGGGGATCTGTTGTTGATTTATTACATGGCCTATCATGTGACCTTCCTCAGGTCCAATATTACTCCACCCAATGCCTCTCTCTGTCTCTCTGGGTCACATTCTAACCTGTCCATACCACCCGTGGACCTTCAGTTAATTTTTCAGAGGTACCCCTGGGAGACCTCTGATCAAGGTGACGGTTTCATTTACATTTACATGATTGATGAAGTGAGGTAGGATCTATAGCTATTAGAGGTGGGGGGGGGGGGAGAGGGAGTTCTCACCCTCTTACCATCCTCCCTCAGGCCTAGGGATGACCATTGGCCTGCAGGAAGGAGAGGAACCCCCAACCCCCACCCCTGAGGGAATCTGGGGGACTCTGTAAACATCAGCTCTGTGAAGGTGACACCCTTAAATATTTGGCAACGTGAAGCTCATGGTCCCTTGCACTTTAAACACTTACTATGGTGAAATCTGTTACATGAAAACAGCAACAAAATAGTATTTGTTTGGTGAGGAATTTCAAATGCCCTTTAAGTGAATATTTTGTGGTAGCGAAGTAAAAAGTCACTTTTTTTCCAGAAGGAATTGACCAGTTATCCAGTAAAAGAACATATCACACTTTAATTTAAATCCTGCAATGGCAACAAGGTAGCTTACAAAGTAGCAACAGATATAAAAGGCAATGCAGAGTTCGCTGCCAGCCAGTTACATAGCTGTAGATGTCAAAATCAATAACAAATGTGTCACAACTAACGTATCAGTGGTCAGTAGTTGCTGTGCAAGAGTTAGCTCTCTTTGGGGTAAGAATCAGAGGTGATGTAGGATCAAAATAACCGACCCTGCGTGCCTCCTTGTCTAATACTACTGTCCCGGTAGTACTGTCTCTAGAGTATTATCAGTGTTTAATAATAATACTCTATAAAAAGTCAAAGCTGTTTCTCTCTCTCTCTCTCGTTTACTCTCTCTTACTTTTCGTCCAGTTCAGTGCATTAACAACCCCACAGGGGTCCCTTGCATGTTTGTTCCAACGCCTGCGTTTAAGAAGAAAAAAAAGCAACACACAAACTAAACTGGGACAGTTCGGAATGAGGTACTCACGGTTCACTCCAGTTTAGACAAAAACTTTGTGGTTTTCCATTCTAAATTATTCATTTGTTCGAGAGAAGAGTGTAGGGTTGTGTTGTTGTGCGTCCACAACACTAATACAGCCTCATCTGTGCCTGTTATTTTCTAATTTATGTGCCTTATTGTTGGTTGTAGCGTCAGAGCGGGGCTTAGGTGAGGCTGTCAATCACTATAGATCTGACAATACCTATTGGTTAGGATAGGGAGTGGGCGGGACAGCCATATCCAACACAACCACACACTCACTGACACTAACATCTGCAGGGGTAAATGATTCCACTCGAAAATAAGGTGTAGGCCATCCACACCCCTCGCACTTTCCATAGGACATATAAATACAGCATATCAACCTGTGAGAAGACTAAGGATTACAGTACAATAACAAATTCTCTGTCTTTCAGTCATAGGGGAACATTTTTTTTGAGCGTAATTTGTGTCTAAACAGTGGACTCTTTGGGCCCCTCCTGCGCTGCGTTCTTGCAGCTGTAGAGCCACTTGATGACACGGGCGTTCCTCTCGATGATTGACACCCCCGTGGTCAGCTTCTCGGCCACCTCCTCCTGGAAAAGACCCGCCTCTCCCGAGTGGCGGGAGAACTCGCTGGGCTCCGAGCCACCGCCCCCTCCCTCTATGCTCCTCAGTACCAATGAGAGCGTGTCTACGTCACTGGCCCCACCCAGGAAGTTCTCGGGCCCCAGCCGGTCCACCATGTCCAGGTCCAGCCCACAGTAGTCAAAGAAATGCTCCTGGTCAGACAACGCCACCGAGCATCGCAGAAGCAGGTCTGACTTGGAGCGTTGTAGTCCTGAACGGCGCCGCGGTGGTGGTGGTGGCGGCACCCGCTTCCAGATGTCTGCCTCGTTGTCAGTGTGGTCACTCATGTCGTTGCCCTTGGTGATGCCATTGCTGTTTCTGGTACCATTGGTGGTGCCATTGCTAACACAGCTAACACCATTCTTAGTCCGCTCCAGTGTACAGCTGAAGCCAGGGCTGAGGCCAGGGCTTGGCAGCGGTGAGCGCTCATGGTCCGTCTTACTGGATCTCCGGCTACCCGGCCCTCCCTGTCTCCCGTCCACGGTGTCCTTGTCATTGGTCCAGGACATGCGTGAGTCACCATCCCGCGACGGAGCTTTCTCCTCGCTGATCACCATCTTCTGGGTGCCCCCTTCACCCCCGCCACTCTTCTCCCGCATGGAGCCCTGGAAGAGGCGGCGGACAAAGTTGTAACCCTTTATTTCCATGTTGGAGTTCCCCAATACGACGCCACCACTAGCCAGGCTTTTGCACTCTTTCTTCTGCCGGTAGATGACCAGGGAGTCAGGCCGCAGCATGCGCTTACCGGTGCTCCTCCTCAGGATGGGGGCACTGTGAGGGGCTACCAGGAGTACGGAGGGTGGGGTCCTGGGGCTGGGTGGGGTCACCTTGTTAGCGTTACTCCTGTTCCGTGCTTCCACATCCTCCGACGTCCTCCGATTCTCCTTCCTCGAGTCATCATTCTCATTCTCGTCTCGTACGGTGAGGGGGCCGGTCAGGGTGGTGAAAGGGGCAGAGGATCGGCGGGGTGGCAGTCGTGGGGTGAGACTCCCAGGCACGGTGAGGGGACGACGGTGTGGAGGAGGTGGTGTGCAGGGCACCAGGACGGGCTCCTGTTTGGTGTTGATGACCTGCTGGCTCTTAACGTATTTGGCCTTGTCTGCCTCTAGTCTCTCTACAGCACTGATGGAACGGCCCTGGCCCCCACCATCCATCTGCCTACGCAGGTAGTCCGGGCCCTTGTTGAGGAGCCTCAGAGGTGAGGGAGATCCTATGGGTGTTAGCGGCTTCATGGTGCTCCACCCTTCTGGGTAAAGACATCAAAACAGCAGCCCCAAAATGGCTGCCTTCTCCTGCAGCTAGTGGCGAAAGGTGTTCCCCCTGGATCTATTGTTGTCCCTTTCAAGATCTAGTCTGGTGTGAGCTCTTCAGTAAGCTTTCTGCTTCAGAACTATAGCATAGCAGCTCCCATTCTCACTCACAGTTCCTGAATCTCTCTACTGAGGAAATAACTAGGTAGCAATTCTGTGACCACAGAGGCCAAGTTTGTTGTGGAGCTTGCTATTGATAGCTTATAGTCTCTTTTTTGGGCACTGTTGGAGCCCAGACAAATTGATATCTCTATCCAGTATTTACACAGGCATTTGGATAAATGGGCAGGGTGCAAGGAAATCCTTTTGCCGCTGGCCAAGAGCACTCCCAAATGAGACGTTCTCCTGCCCACAGCGCAGCAGAAATAGCAGGCAGAGTTCACTTTGAAAGGGTTACTATTTTTCACCCTCCCCTTTTCTCTCTGAGCAATCACTCCTTTTCCGTTGATCTTTTCACTGAAGGTTAGTCCTGGGAAATGAGATATAATGGCCTCAAATATTTGCTTTGTGAAGGGAGGCAGTCTGAGGGACGGTGGGTCGAGAGACTCCTATTTGTTCGGCCGCCGTCGCGGTTGAGGTGACCTGAGGGTGGGCGGCACCGGGACACTTCGGATGTTGACGGACGGATGAACGGACGAAGGACTTGTCCTTGTCCTCACCTGCACTCACAGTCCCTGGGAGAAAAAGATAAAAAAAGAGAGGTGTTAGCATGGGCTGCTTTTCTCCAGGGCAGCAGAGACAGAGAGAGACCATATGGCAGAGAGTGACAGTGGTCCCTAAAGCTCACACTGAGCTCATGTCACACTCTTTAGAGCTGGAATGAGTCCTGTGTCTGGCAGGAAAGAGCTGGGCCAAGCTCCCACGCATGCACTGAGCTGACCGCTATTGGGAATACACAAAACATGCCAATCCACGTTTTACCAGGAATTCAATATCTTGGAGGCTACATTAATTATAGGAATTTTACTTCTGCATTGATATTCATAACACCCTGTAGCTGTGAGAGAATGTGTCTGTGTGTCTATGTGCACAAGGGGAAGGAGCTCAACACATCTCCCTAAACGATTTCTCCTCAACATGCAAGGTTGACAGAAAAGAGGCCCCCGTTCCTAATATAAATTGCATAATCAGCTGTGATGAGTTGAACAAAGTTTCTCCACACCACATTTGCATTCCTAAACAGCTGCACTGAATACTTCACTAACACGACACCATCAATATTTAAACACCCTGCAAAATAAAACTGCTAAGTAAACCAATACCCTTCCAACGCAATAACTCTCACAGTTGCAGCGAGACAGCTTGTTCTCCAAATTAACAAGCCCCAATGAAAGATAAATTAAACTTTAATCTCAAAGTAACTGGAGTTGTTTTTAAATGGTACATATCTCAATTACATGTTGCATAGAAAGAGAAGACCGTTATTTTTAGGGCATGCATCGCAACGACGTGGGAGTAAGGAAGGGAGGGGGTGAGGTTGTGTGTCTATAATGGGATAGGGAGCCTAAACCAAGGAGGTGCAGGGAAAGTATTTATAGCTGGAGAGCATCCCAACATGATTATTGTGTGTGTGTGCACTTGCATGCATGTGTGTATGTGTCAGCACGTGGCAATAAGGCCCTGCCCAGTAAATTCAATTGGTTGTCTGCGGAGTTGGTTTGCAGATTATCAGGCCTTTTGGAGAGCCCACATTCTGTTCTTTTTCATGTGTAAAAACAGAAGGTGAACATAGGCTGCCATGTGTAGTATAGCAGTAGAAAGACCTCGTCTGTAAACCCCAAAACTGCTACAAAAACCTGGGGGCACAGGTGGTGGCTGCTTTTCATTTCCTTTCCTTCAAAAAGTATTAAGAAACTGGCCAAAAAACCAAACGTGCTCCTTCTGCTGTTTGACATCTGGAGAGCCAGAGTGGTGTTGTTCCCAGAGTGGCTGTGATACAAATAAGCATATTTCGGCTCTTTGTTTTTATGAGGCAAAACAATGAGTGACCTCCTTCTGGCAGGAAAATGACCTGTATATGTGGTGTTTTAAAGGGTTTTATGTACACATTACATAATAGTATAAGGTTAGTATGTTGGTACGGTTCAATAGCAAAGAAACAGAGGCAAATAGCAAGTACTTTCCACAAGGATCCTAGCCCTAATGATCACTCTGTAACAAAACAAACCCCCAAGACTTACACAAAGTCCTATGAATTTGTGAGAAAGTTAATTACTGGCAGCATGACATAAAAAAAGGGGGCTTACCTCCCTACCTCCGTTGTTTAAGTTGTCTCTCTACCGTTCAACCTCCACACCTCTCTCACATCAACCCCCCTCTGCCCTGCTGTCAAAAGGCCTGGAAGGCCTACTACTATAAATTCAGTCTAGAGAGGATGGGGGACTGCTACACTTTCCAGATGTCAAGCAGGCAATGCCGGGAAAGGCACCCATTGTTTGGAATAAGTTCTGGGGAAAAAACTCAACAGGTGCCAGAGGAAAGAGCCTAGACAGGGATAAAAACAGGATGAAAACAGAAAGGGTAACACTTTATTTGGATGGTCCATCTGTAGATGCTCTACAGACTATCAGTAACATTTCAACCAACTACTGTATCTACTAAACTTAACCCTAGCCCTATCCATAACCATTATTCTAAACCTAATCCTAACCCTAACAAGCAGTTGCTTGTCAACAGATAGTTTGTTGATAGTATGACCGTCTGTATCTACAGATGGACTATCCAGACTATCCAATAAAGTGTGACTACAGAAAGAAAGAGGGAAAGAAAAATGTAGCGGAACTAAGGGTAGCGGTGGTGGAGGTGGTGGGGCATCACATTTACTTAACACCGTTCTTAACACCGACAGTAGGATTGCCGTTTCAAGTGGCAGGATTATGCCACTGGAGTGTAAAGCAGGATTAGTGCCTGGCCTAACCCAAATATGAACTCAAATCTGGGGTACTGACGACAGGCAGCCTCTACCCCTCCGTGGAAGTGTGAGTTTTTCAATCCAATCTGAATAGGAGTTCTATAGGGCCCGTGTAGCTCAGTTGGTAGAGCATGGCGCTTGCAACGCCAGGGTTGTGGGTACGATTCCCACGGGGGGCCAGTATGAAAAAAATAATATATAATAATGTATGCACTAGCTGTGATAACTCTGGATAAGAGCTTCTGCTAAATGACTAAAATGTAAAATCTATAGAGTTTGTGGCATGGAGTAGATCCTGGTTTTAGTAATGACCAATGGAAGACAGAACGGGTGACCACAGGATGTTGGAGTCAAGAGTTAAGCAAATATTAATAGAAACATGTTATATGACAAAACAAGGGAGAATGTTTAGAATATGAATGTATAACTCCATAGACCATACGTCTTTTGAAAACCACTGCCTTTTCACGAAGACCAATTTCAAAAACCATGTTCCCCTCTGAGATTGACTGTGTTCATAAGAATGCCTTTTGTTGTTTGAAATGTAAATGTCCTCTGAAGGCATTGTGTTCATTGGATGTGACATCAGCCGTTTGAAGAGAGCCAGCCAGTCTCTGTTTAGAGGTTATCTCTTGCTCTGAGCACTATCACTTAGAACAATGCATAGAACAATGTGAATCACAATGCTAGCCGTTGGTTGTTTGGGACACTATTTATATCTTACATCGAGCAGGAAACCAGACAGTGGCCCAAATGTATGTTTGCTCATATTTCCTCTCGACACACATGGTGATTGATAACTAAAATAGACAGGTTTTAAGCCACAATGTATAAAAACAGGTTGGATCTGAAAACACAGGGTGAGGTCAGTAGACCAGATTGACGCGTATGCACGCGCGCACACACACACACACACACACACACACACACACACACACACACACACACACACACACTCCGAGAGCGAGGGGTGGCCCAACCTGTATTTACACACAGACAAAAGCCTCCATTAACTCCATTGGCTCTAATGAGACTAATTAGTACCCAGCACCTTTTACTGTGATCCTCTCTCTTTTGAAAACCATGTGACGGCTGCAGCAGAACATGTCTCCTATTACACTGGGTCGCCCCTGCTCCCGCCCTGACTACCCCCTTCTCTCACAGTGGGTAGTTATTAACCTCTTCTGTTCCCCTCTCATCTCCCTGGCTCTCATACGTCTCTGTCCATCTCTCATCTCTCATCTTTTTCTAAAGCTCTCGCTGTATTTGTCTGTCTCTCTTCCCCCCCCCCCCCCTCCCTCCCTCTCTCTCTCTCTCTCTCTCTCTCTCTCTCACTTTCTTTCTCTCTGTTTTTCCCTCCCACCCTGTCATTTCCCCCCTCTGCCTGTCCCCTCTCTCTCTGTGAAACTGCTAGCCCGCCTGCAGGGAAGGCTTAACCAGGCGCCCCATGCAGCCCATAAGAGGAACCAGATGGTTTGTGTCATGCTTCATCAGGACCTCTGGGCCGGACAGACAACTGGGGCCCTCGATAGAGAGAGTAGGGAGCGTGAAAAGGGTCCGACGTTACGTGATCACCAGGGTCGCATTGAGGTTGTGTGCACAACAAATGGATTCGGCTCAGTCAATTTAGCTTTTAATCAAATGGTATTATTTGGGCTACTTGATTAATGAGTATGACCCAGGTTTGAAAACCCAAAAGCAAAAGGTCACGCCTATATGTTTCCCACTCCAGAGCTCAGAGGACAGGCCTAATTCAAAAACAACTAATTCAATTTATTGTTAATTTAGCTACTGTTTAAAATAAAAAAGATTGCTAGAGGTAGGCTATATGACTAAGCAAAGACATTTGACTAGGAAGGGTTAAAGAGTGCCAGTAGATTTCTGTTGATTACTCTGGTGAGGAAGAGAGGGCTCAAACCCAGGAAGTGTTTGTTTAGTTCATGAGGACTTCATCATCTACCCACCAATGAAACGGCTAGAGTCCAGAGCTAACATAGCATATCCAAAGGAA